TGATCGTTGGTTACTTCCGGGTTCTGTAAATGCGGACAACCACGTGGGGCGGTCTTTTCGTAGGTGGAACGCATCTTGCGTTCCATTCTCCGATCTGTGTTTACTTCCTGGCTTCGGTCATGTGTGTCGTCACGTGTATAGCGTTTCGTGCACGTGATATCTAATTTGCATTGTGGAATACTCTTTCGATGGATATTCCTCTCAGGCTAATAATTGAATAAGTTTACTAACATGTAAATGTGATAATCACTGTATACTAATTGACCATTATAAATGTAAATATACCTGGGTACACGACAAGATAAATGGATATATTAACAGACTCTTTGAGATGACAAAACACTTGGCTTTAAAATTACCAATTGGATAGCTAAGTTCTTAAAGTGACAGTGCATGATTCTAAACATAACCTAATCAATATTTAGGAATGCAATTGTTTGGCTCAAAAAGGCTGTTTTATACAGGGCTTCAATTTTAAAAAAAAAAAAAAAAAAAAAAAGAGAAGAGAAAGGGAAGAAGAAGAAAGAGAAAGTAATGTTAATGGATCATTTGAAACAGAATTTTACCATGGAGATATATATACATTATACCCTTATTTCCTTAGATTTGTAAAGTGACAGTGTACAATTACTTTTAATGTAAACTCAGCTCATAAGTGACTTGATGCTTGTGTGCTTAAAGTGGCAGTGCTTTTATGATGTTGTGAAAAATATTATTATACATGGTCTTGCAAGATCTTGGTTTAATCTCATATTAATCTCTAAATCAATACATATATTTACGACTAATGGATGGGGGGAAAAAATAGGAGAAGAAGAGATGAAATTTATTTATAATTTTAAAACACTTATCCCCACACGCCTTAATCAAGATTTCAATTATGCCACTTTTATAGTTCCCTTTTCTTTTTCCTTTTTTTTTTTTCCATCCAAAAAAAAGGAAAAAAAAAAGAAAAGAAAGGGGGAACTATAAAAAGTGGCATAATTCGAAATCTTGATTAAGGCCGTGTGGGATAAGTGTTTTAAAATTATAAATAAATTTCATCTCTTCTTCTCCTATTTTTTCCCCCCATCCATTAGTCGTAAATATATGTATTGATTTAGAGATTAATATGAGATTAAACCAAGATCTTGCAAGACCATGTATAATAATATTTTTCACAACATCATAAAAGCACTGCCACTTTAAGCACACAAGCATCAAGTCACTTATGAGCTGAGTTTACATTAAAAGTAATTGTACACTGTCACTTTACAAATCTAAGGAAATAAGGGTATAATGTATATATATCTCCATGGTAAAATTCTGTTTCAAATGATCCATTAACATTACTTTCTCTTTCTTCTTCTTCCCTTTCTCTTCTCTTTTTTTTTTTTTTTTTTTTTTTAAAATTGAAGCCCTGTATAAAACAGCCTTTTTGAGCCAAACAATTGCATTCCTAAATATTGATTAGGTTATGTTTAGAATCATGCACTGTCACTTTAAGAACTTAGCTATCCAATTGGTAATTTTAAAGCTAAGTGTTTTGTCATCTCAAAGAGTCTGTTAATATATCCATTTATCTTGTCGTGTACCCAGGTATATTTACATTTATAATGGTCAATTAGTATACAGTGATTATCACATTTACATGTTAGTAAACTTATTATTCAATTATTAGCCTGAGAGGAATATCCATCGAAAGAGTATTCCACAATGCAAATTAGATATCACGTGCACGAAACGCTATACACGTGACGACACACATGACCGAAGCCAGGAAGTAAACACAGATCGGAGAATGGAACGCAAGATGCGTTCCACCTACGAAAAGACCGCCCCACGTGGTTGTCCGCATTTACAGAACCCGGAAGTAACCAACGATCAGGAAGATGGAACGCAAGGTGCGTTCCACGCTGAAAAAGACCGCGAAACCAACGTTTAAAGGCAGAGAAGGACTCAGAGACTAGTACACAGCCAACTGAGGAAGCCCAAGAGGCGAAACGCGTTTTGGCTGTTATTTCATACTTATCTTTCCTATATATTTTTATGTATTAATAAATTATATTTTACTCTACATCTAATTGAATCCCTTGCTGTTTATGGTGGAACAAGAAAGTATCCTTGGACATCCAGAACATCTCCAGAGGGATTTGGATCACCCCCAAAAGATCCTGAGGCCTTGATACCAGAGCCAGGTCCAATTGGCTCTACGTTTGTGAGTGTTTTCATCTATCACCTAGCCACACTTGTCTATAGCCATCTGCACTATTGTGTGTACCTCTCTACAGAACTACAAGCTGAGAAGAGAGGACTAATATTGCTCCATCCATTTTTTTCCTGTTCTCCCACACAAACCACCATGAAAATACTCAGCCACAATGTACGAGGACTGAATCTCTCAGTACAGAGACATCTCTTATACAGAGATCACAAAACCCAAGGGGAAAACATCGTCTGCTTCCAGGAAACCCACTTCAAAACTAATGATCACCCGTCACTATGGACTCAGGAATACCCACAACAATTTCACTCTACCTCATCCACTAAGTCTAGGGGGGTTTCCTTTTATTCTGGATACATGAACAAAAGAGGCCTAGAGTACTGTCGCCACTAGACAGCTCTAAGCGAGCATTGAAAATATGGGACACACACTATAAAGTCCTGACTAAGAGTGTGTCGTACTCACTAGCAATGCCCATCCAAAGTTTAAGTATTGTCAACCCCAACTTTGATTATATAACTTGGTACTACTCACATACACCATCTGTACAAAGATTTGGGTTGCCTCACGAGGCACTTTTTTCCTATCTGCAACACACCTCAAAAACAATGACACAACCAGAGTTGTTGACATTCAAGAGCATGTGCCTACACGCTAACACCCATAAAAAAACACTCTCTAGGATTTACAACATCTTAATATCACAACAGCATGTGACACCACATAAATTCATGGTGGAGTGGCACAGAGACCTAGATACAACATGCTCAGGCAAACAATGGCAGTGATTACATAAAATTCACTACAGATAGTACTACATGCCAGAAAAGTTAGCACGCATGTTTCCTGGTACTTCAGAGAGATGTTGGAGATGTAAAGGGGCCACAGGCTTGATGTTCCACATCTGGTGGAAGTGTCCTAATCTAAGGAAATACTGGCAAACAGTAGAAGAGATACTTAATGAGACCCTATCCCGTCACTGCACCTTATCACCTGGATTGGGGCTACTATTCATGGGGCTCAGACAATACACACCGGTAAACCGCAAGCTCCTATTTAAACGCTTATCGCTGCCAACACACAGAGCCAAATAACAACGAACTGGGAATATGAAGTTATGGCACCTTCACAGATTAGGTCAGGATGCATTACTAAACAAGCAGGTGAAATTTGGAGGGCAAGATGCGAAAGTGGAAATACAAATGATACAGAATTAAAAAAAAATCCTAAGATACTATACCCAATATTACACAAGACGGAAGACTCTCTCTGAGGGAGATCTACGAGACCAAAACTCCACCGGGGAGATTAAAATCAGTTCTTTCTTGGCCATTACTGGTCAGACAGTGAGCTGCTCTCTTCCAGCCTACTATGTGCCCACACCAGGAACACTTCCTACGCCTCCTGATCACTTCAGGGGCATGCCATAAAAAGTAACACCCACATGTATATAGTTCAGAACCACCCTACTCTCCCCTTTTCTTCTACACTTCCCTACCCTCTTCCTTTCAGGTTTTCCTGTCTCTAATGCTCCTTTCGAATTAGCTTCCTTAAGGTGCTATCTACCACATACGGACAGTTCTGCCTTCCACAGTGGAGCAACAAACACCCACGATGGGTGAGACAATGTTATGAAAATTGACTACGGAGTTCTTGGATATGTCTACAATTCTAACACTACACCCTGACCAAACACTATAAGACATTAGCAAGAGATATACACAGTGTTTCACACTCTGACAAAGTAGTTACCTCCTATACCATATACTTTGCAGAATCTAATTAAGGGGGACAGATGACGATAGCATGTATAACCTGTATACCGCCTGGTTTATGCTGATGTGACTCAGTGTGTCAAGAATCCCTTTTATGACAACATCTGTAGTGTAAAATGTTGACTTGCAAGACAGTGCCTATGGAAGTGCAATAATGTAATATGACGTAAAACATATGTTTGAGAATGCTTTCTCCCCGCTAATCTGCCTTTCTTTTTCTGAACCCCAAAAAATCAATAAAAATTGTCAAATTGAAAAAAAAAAAAGATTTATAGGCTGCCAACAAAAGATTATACACAAAAGTACACAAACGCTAATAATTTAGAAGTTCCAGGATTCAGTTTAACTCTTATAACATGGCGGTTGGCAACTTGTGTATTAATAACAACATTAAAGGGAAATCTACTATCACAAGCCATTGCTTGAAATCTAGCTATTAAACATTTTTTCACTATAAAAGTCCTAAGTAATCAATTTCTCCTGCGGCCAATTAAAATCCTGTAATATATCAGCCTATTACTTCCCCAATGCTTTATTACATGTGCAACCCTTTATTTCATGATACAGCATCAACAGCTAGGTTTTAATAAATAGGTAATTTTAAAGGAAAATCATATTGAAGAATTTACCAGGGATGGGCCTGTTGAATAATGCACATTTCATAAGCCAACATATTTATTTGGCATTTAGAAGGATGTGAAGCCCTGTATGCAAGGATGAGGTATAACTTTATTTATAACATATATCAGTACATTTTATTCCGCTCCCTATAATATTTATTTTTATTGCCCCACTGGTTGCCATTTTCTAGTCACTTACCGACATTTTAATTATATCTATTTTATAATCAGCCACTTCTTTCAGAGCACCATTGCTTCTTTAAAACGATTTGCGATATATTATTATATTCTGGAAAAGCTGATGCAGTGAAGATCCAAGTTACTTCTTTTTTTAATGAAATTAAGGTTTAGGAAAATAACGACTGCCACGATGTTATGGGTCTTGCTTTATTAGGGCTGGAATTACATATTGATAACTTTGAATCCTGGGAAGCAGGCTTGGGTCCATGTGTTATGGAAATGGGCCGATTTAGGATCTATCATTTCTATCCAACATATAATTTCTTTTCCTCTTTGGATATTATTTTGATTGACTGCTTTCAGTTTACAGATATGAAACACATAACGGAGAACATTTACATTTCCCCAAATCTCCACACCAGGTGATGTTCCTACCATATGGGACATATTATTTACCTTGAACAATCTTCTCACGACTCCATCCAAAACATCCCACTTGGTTTTGCCCCCGACGCCAATGCAACCGATAAGGAACATGCGCTGGCGGCAGTCCTAGGAAGAGGGAGACTGTTACAATGTATCCCTTTATTATAGCAAAGAGTCTGAGATTGGGGGGGGAGGAGGGGGTCATTGCAAGTTTTACACTCAGTCTAGTGCCAAGTATGAGTTACACACAGCATACTCACACTCATCTCCCTCCATTTCATTTCCTCTAAGAAGCTGACCACGATCTTGACATGTCTGCTCTCCTTTCTTAACGTCCCATCAGAGGCATCTTCCAGAAGCATGTCTGCAAGAATAACAGACAGAGTCAGTATCGGAGCTCACCCTGACAATGCCATACCATTACACCATCCATAATCCCTCCCATGATCTCTTTGCCTTGCATGTACCCAGAATCCTCTGGTGCATGATATGGTTGGCACATTTCTTTGTAAAATATTATCTCGATAGAATAGCAGGATTTACATAATTTTTAGCAAACTGAGGTCTGAGTATGATTTACTGTTTAACCTCTTTATATCACAGCTAAAGGCAGCGTTTTTTTATTGTTTTAGTTGCCCGAGTCATACACAGTCATCAGATTAAAAAAACGATTTTTTTTTTTTTTTTAACTAAAACAATTTAAGATGTCCAATAGTGATGTCCCGAACGCTTCGCCACGGACTCATCATTGAGTAAACTTTGACCCTGTACCTCACAGTCAGCAGTCACATTCCAGCCAATCAGCAGCAGACCCTCCTTCCCAGACCCTCCCACCTCCTGGACAGCTCACTAAGAATGCAGCTTCACAATGAATGTAAAATGGATGCTGTCCAGGAGGTGGCAGGGTCTGCTGCTGATTGGCTGGAATGTGTCTGCTGACTGTGAGGTACAGGGTAAAAGTTCACTCAATGATGAGTCTGCAACGAACCGTTCGCGAACCGTTTGGGAAATCACTAATGTCCAACATAATTCAATTAAATGATATGTTTGAAATATCGTTATCAAATGATGACATTTTTGATGATCATATGGTTTAAATGTTATTTACTAAACATAGAACTCCCTAACGCCTGATTCATGGTCAGATTAGTAATGATATAGTCACCAGGACCTTACCCAGACTGGAAGACTCTGTCAGACTGACGCTGTGCTGGGGTTGGACCACGGATTGTCTTGGGGAAGATGAAATGGAAATTTGAGACTGAGACTTTCCTGAGTTTTCTGCCTTCAAGCGATCGTTCTCTGCTTTGAGTTTCTCAATTTCACTCTAAATAAAACAAAATCTTTAGCATCATTTGCAGATATGATTTGCTAACTTCAGAATTAAATATATCCTTGTTGCAGCTAGCATGATTGGCATATACTAGCAAATACAGAGAAACTACACAGGACAACAAACTCTGGCAAATTGAATCCAAAGGGAAACATTAAGCCAGTTAACCAGACTGGAGTCTGGATGTTGTTACCTGCATTCTGTTCATGGCCTCTCGGAGCTGGTCCAGTTGGTGTGCTGAGCTCAGAGCTTCCAGGCGGATATCAGTCAGTTTCATTTCCTTGTCTCTTAGCTCATTGCGCAGCTGCAGAACACTTTCGGCCTCATTCTCTGCACAATCTGAGATTCTGAACAGAAAAGACAGACATGAATGCACAGGCTATATATTTATTGCTGCATATCACCAACGGAGGGAGCACATAGTAAGAGTCAGGAAGAGGGTAGCAGTCTTTCCCTTGCAGACAGAGCACCTGTGCAGTGCGTGCTGACTGTCAGATGTGAAATATGCACAGAATTGACATGAGGCAGTCCGGAACAGTGCTGGGTTTAAGTCAGGTGGAACTAACACCGGCACACAATTAAAAAAAATAACTTGGAATTTCACCTCCAGGCACCATGACCACTGCAAATCACTGAAGTGGTCATGGTAGTTGGATTAACCCTTTAACGATTTATATAGCTGTTATTTCCAAGCAGAGCCATCAGGTGGCATGCTGGAGCGATTTCACATACACAGGCTTACACATTATTTTTATTCCAGTTGGTGATTTTCCACAAAGCTAAATATAACAACCAAGGCTATTAAGAGTTCATCCAGGGTTTTTTTAGTGCAATATGAAAAAGACAGACTAAACAAGAAATTCATCTCAGTACCTACGTGTTTCAGTTTACGGTGGTGCAGTGAGATATGTTCTGAGTGCATTCACTTTGCAGAACAATTTAAAGAAATCACAGTATTACAGAATATTATATGGTGATCTGAAGAGTGTATTAAGATATTATAGATTAAAGGTACATGTTGCTTATAATTAGTATTGCTAGGGCAGGGGGTGTTTCAATAACCTTGTTATCTATTAATTACAAGACCTAGCAATACCCTATTAGCCCAGCCCTTCTCTCCCCCTAAAACCTGGAATGATTGCCTTTTTGTTACAACAATATCCCTGTATAGAAATGATTTGTTGGAGATGCATTTCTCTCATGAAAGTTGTACAGACTGATGTAGACTGATCTAAACACCGACACAGGCATAAGAAAAGCACAACAGAAATCTTTATTATTGACTTACAGAGAGCCAGAGAGAGAGCCTCTCATAAGAGGGGTGGATAGCCCTGGGCCATTATGGGGTAGCTTTGGAGAAGAGGGAAGGGAAGAATCGGTCATCTCCTCAATATCAGAATGAGACGAGGCAGACTTGGGAGATTTCTTTTTGCCAAAAGCTTGTTTGAAGGAACTTCGCAGCTGAAAGAAAAGATTTGAAGATGTAGATTTGCTGAATCCAGAGAAAGGACATGTTCGTTTACTGGACAGATAAAATGAAATCAGGTTTCCAAGCCTATGGTTAGAAATATGGATTTTTTATGTGTCCTTGAGTGTTGCTATGTAGTTAACCTGCTGAAATGGATGCATCCAGGAAGAGAATGAACTCATTCAAGAAAAGCATAGATGGAGAAATGGGACAGTCATGGGGTGCATAGATGGAGAAATGAGACAATCAGACAGTCATGGGGTTGCATTGATAGAGGTAGAGAAATGGGACAGTCATGGTGTGCATGAATGGAGAAATGGGACAATCAGAGGGTGCATGGATGGAGGTAGAGAAATGGGACAGTCATGGTGTGCATGGATGTAGAAATGGGACAGTCATGGTGTGCATGGATGGAGAAACGGGACAATCGGGATGCATGGATAGAGAAATGAGACAATTAGGGGGTGCATTGATGTAGAAATGAGACAATTAGGGGGTGCAGGGATAGAGGTAGAGAAGTATGACAGTCATGGGGTGCATGGATGGAGAAATGAGACAATTAGGAGGTGCATGGATGATGCACGGAGTAAGCATACAGAGGTTTTTGCAGTAATGGATGCAGATGGAGAGATGGAGTAATGAACAAATGTACGCGAGCTGTGAATGATTATCTGCGATCTTACCTCGTTAACCTGTTTGGGGATGTGCAAGCAAGACAAAATGGGAAGAAAAACAAAAAACAAAGACATTTTAACATAAAAAGCAAGTGGTCTTTAACACAGAGATTATAAACAATGTAGGAAAGAGTGGGTTTAAGCAAAGCGAATATAAACTGAGCAAAGAGCCAGAACTAACAACTACTGATCGGAATACAACCGGTTTTAGTACCTACTGAATAATATTAAAACCAGTATTAGTACTTTCTGAGTAACATTACAGACAGTATTAGTACAGCCTGAGTAACATTACAGCCGGTATTAGTACTTCCTGAGTAACATTACAGTTGGTATTAGTACCTCCTGAGTAACATTACAGCCAGTATTAGTACCTCCTGAGTAACATTACTGTTGGTATCAGTACCTCCTAAGTAACATTACAGTCGGTATTAGTACCTCCTGAGTAACATTACAGCCAGTATAAGTATCTCCTAAGTAGCATTATAGCCGGTATTAGCACTTCCCGAGTAACACTGCAGCCGGTATTAATACCTCCTGATTAACATTACAGTTGGTATTAGTACCTCCTGAGTAACATTCCAGCTGGTATTAGTACCTCCTGAGTAACATTCCAGCTGGTATTAGTACCTCCTGAGTAACATAACAGCCAGTGTTAGTATCTCCTGAGTAACATTACAGTCAGTATTAATACCTCCCGAGTAGCATTACAGCGGTACTAATACATCCCGAGTAACATTACAGCCGGTATTAGTACCTCCTAAGTAACATTACAGTTG